AATTCCTGAGAATATCACACAATTCCACTCTATTAGCCTCTGCAATGTTTTGTATAAAATCTTGTCTAAAATCTTAGTCAATCGCATTCGGCCTCTCATCAATGATCTTGTCAGCCCTAACCAAAGCAGCTTTATCCTCGGTAGATCAACCCATGACAATATCATCATCACTCAAGAGTTGATCCATACTTTACGTCATAAAAAAGGTAAACATGGTAGCATTATTATCAAGATCGATCTAGAAAAGGCTTATGATAGAATGTCCTAACCTTTTTTGAAAGCTACCCTTGAAGAATTCAATCTTAACCAACATTGGATTGATCTCATAATGTCTTATGTGTCCTCTGTGAACTTTTCTATCTTATGGAACGGTGAAACCATGGAAAATTTCAACCCTGGTCGTGGTCTTAGACAAGGTGACCCTCTTTCACCATATTTGTTCGTTCTTTGCATGGAGAGATTATCTAATATGATCAGAGTGCAGGTGGATACAGGAAAATGGATAGGACTGAAAGCTTCCAAAGCAGCCCACCAATCTCCCATCTATTTTTTGCGGATGATCTCCTCCTATTTGCCAAAGCTGATCAAATTAACTGTGAGACAATCTTGAAAACCATGAATGAATTTTGCTGCATTTCAAGGCAAAGAATCAACCTCCAAAAATCCAAAATGTATATCTCCCCCAATATCCATAGGAATTTAGCCAACGAGCTCAACTCTTTGTGTAATATCAGCTTAACTCAAGACCTTGGTAGATATCTTGGAGTGCCTCTTATCCACAGTAGGGTCAGCAAAAACATTTTTAATGGTGTCATTGAAAAAATTCAGAGAAAGCTATCCTCTTGGAAAGCCAAAGCTCTATCTTTAGCCGGCAGAGCTACTGTTATTCAGGCTGTTTCATCTTCCATACCTACCTACCTTATGCAAACCACTAAACTTCCCCAAAGCATTTGCAAACACATTGACAAACTAAATAGAAATTTCCTATGGGGTGATCAAGAAGGAAGGAAAAAAGTCCATTTGGTCAATTGGAAACAAGTATGTAAAGCCAAATAAGATAAAGGTCTAGGCCTTAGAAGAGCAGAAGATCAGAATGTTGCACTCTTAGCTAAATTGGGATGGAAGCTAAACTCTGACAAGGATGCTTCCTAGACCAAAATCCTCAAGGGCAAATACTTACACAAGCACACTTTCTCCAATTGGCCTTCTACCACAAATGCATCTCATACTTGGAGGAGCATCATGAAGACTAGAGCCATTCTGGCTAAGGGAACTAAATGGTCAGTGGGTAATGGCAAATCCATTTCATTTTGGAAAGATTGGTGGTGTGGAAATGGGCCTCTTGCTTCTACCTTTCCAGGTCCACATATCACAGAGGATGTTGTTGTTGCTGCTATAATCAATGAGGAAGGTGAATGGGATATGGAAGGGGCTGCTAATGTTCTGCCACAACTTTCGCAACCTCAAATCCAACAGATCCACCTTCCACAATTTGTGGAGCTAGAGGATAACCCATACTGGATTGGCTCCTCTACTGGTGGTTTTATTGTTGGGGCTGCCTATAAGTTAGTTGCTAATCAAGTCTCGTCTCTAGACACTGGCCCAGTTATCTGGCACTGGATCTGGAAACTCAAAATTCCCCAAAAACTGAAGGGGTTTATTTGGTTGCTGATGCTTAACAAAGTTCTCACCAATCACCAAAGAAAGATTAGGGGCCTTACCACCGATGACACATGCCCTCGTTGTCAGCTCTATTGCGAGGACCTGAACCACTTGTTACGAGAGTGTCACCAATCTGCAGAAGTATGGGAGACACTAACCTATCACAGTTGGAGAGCTCCCAGTACTCTCAGTTCCTTGGACACTTGGCTCCAGCATATTTTAAAAAGCAAAAACAGAGAGTGTTTTAATATCCCCTGGGATACTGTCTTTGTTGTGACCTTGTGGCGATTATGGAAAGCTAGAAACAATGTGGTGTTCAATCAGGAGGCCATCCATACCCAGGAATTAGTGCGACAGATTCAACATGAAGCTGTAGAAATACATTATGCCTTCCACACAGACCATTTCACAGGTGATTACTTACACTTTAAAACTAATTGGTGCCCTCTTTGTGCAGGAAAAATCAAGCTCAACACCAATGGATGCTCCAAAGGCAACCCTGGTCCTGCTGGTTATGGTGGTTTGTGCAGAGATGCTCGCGGAACCTGGATCTTTGGATTTCATGGGAAATTGGAATCAGCCACGAGTGAGGAAGCTAAACTTTGGGGCATATATAGAGGTCTCACCATCATTTTGGAGAAAAGTATGAGAGATGTTTTGATTGAAACTGATGCAGAACAAGTGGTGATCCACATCAATTCTACTACACCTAGCAGCTACCCCTACCGAGCACTTCTAGAGGACATCAAATTCCTAATGCACAGGTGCAACTGTGCGGTTCGCCACATCCTCCGCGAAGGAAACCAATGTGCTGATAGACTAGCAAATATAAGAGTGTCTCATGGAGATAATCAGGTAGTGCTGGACAACCCCCCTCCTGAAATTGCTAATCTGCTTGTTGCAGATATAGTTGGTTTATCTTGTGAAAGGGCTTAAGCTTGTTTAGCCCATTGTTCTTTGTTACTGTTGCTTTTGTTATCTTTCCATTGAATCAAAAAAAAAAAAATGTTGTTAGGTAGTGATTTTTGTACGTAGATGATAAAATAATAAAAAAAATTCTCAATTCTATTAAGCTTCCAGCAAATGAACGAAGCCTTAGAAAATAAGAATAGTGTAATAAAAGTAAATAATACACAAATCAACAAAATTAAAATTAAAAAAAATCTTAAATGGTCAAATAAATAATTTAACAAGAATTACAAACACATGTCATGCCTTTGTTTTGTTTTTTTTTTTTTTGAACATGAACATTATGTCATGTCTAATGCCCTACTTTTGCTGCCCATCATCCACCTCCAACTCCAACACGGGACAACACATCATTAATAGCCTTGTGATAAATAAACAAATAAAAATAACACATGAATGACACTTTCACAAAATATTTACATGAAATAAAGATTCCACAAGGAATCCGCTTTGAAGAATCAGCCACCAAGCGTCAACATCAATAATTGATACTCCAGCAAAAGAAGACAAAATTTGTAGAAGATAAGGCTTCCCTTCAATTATCAGACAAAGCGCACACCAAAAAAAGACAAAAATTCTGTAGATATTTGTCTGTAATTATCTGAGTCTGTCAGTGATAAGGATTTTCCTTCACTTATTACTTTGATAAAGCAGATAAACCCTATCCTGCTTTATTAAAGAAAAGCTGTGAAAATCCTTATACGTGTCCTGTAATAAATTATAGTGTCAAAATTTTGTCAAAAAGGGAGGATTGAATGATGTGCGATGAGGCCCAAAGCAGTACCCAACATCAATATCCAAACCCTCTATTTGTTTTTATATGTAGAAATATCGTCAAAAGAGGCATATAATTGTATACATATATAGCCTTGTCTTTACTTAGTTTTCAAAAAGCCTAAGTCTAGGCCAGCATAGGTTTTGACCCTTGGGAAAGTTTTAGACGTGAAATGTTGGGCAAAACTTTTTGAGTTTTGTTTTTTCTTCTTTTAGTGTTGTATAAATTGGCATGCTTGCCAACGAAAGAGGCAGAATGAAAAATACCCCTTCACTCTGCATTGTAAAATTTCCAACCCTTCTCAAAAACCTCTAAGTGTACTAAGTCTTTCAGAATTTCGGAGTCTGTAATATAATCTTTGTAAGTATATTTCTTATTAATATGAAGTGTGAGTAGTTTTTCTTTTTCCTTAAATATTTCAAAAGGGTAACTCTTCTATTCTAAAAAATTATTTTCTTTTTGGAAAAACTAAGTTTATGGAATGCTTGTTTGCTCATTAATATTACACGCTTTGAACCTTCGTAGTATCTTCTACTTTCTATTTTGTTACTGAGTGACCTTAGCTGAAGAGCCCGTGTTAGCCGTGGTTAGGCGTTGAAGGGCAAATTGTAGGCAGAAAGGAAAAGGTAAAATTTAGAAAATAAAAATATACTATGTTGAAGGAAACTTAGCTTCAAGGTGGGAGTACATGCAATGAAAACAAACATTGCCAAAAAATAGTTTTTGCCAAATAAAAGAATTTTAAAATAAAAGGAGAGCAACCTGAGTAAAAATATTACGGAAATATTGTCCATAAAAGAAATTTAAAAAAATCAAAATCTTATGCCCTTAGAAGATAAACTTAGGTTTAAAATCAAAACTAGTACGGAACTCATACAAGAATTAGAAGATCAAATATCAAGATATCAGTTTCTTTTATCATTAGCTTCTAGCAGATCTTTAGAAAATTACAGTTTAAAAATTTCTCAGATAAATAAACAGCTAACTGTAAAACAAGAAGCCTTAAAATTAGCCATATAACAGCTAGAAGACCTTTTAGTATAACTGTAGAATTAATTAGATAATTCTCAGCCCAATTTGACGGTTGAGAAGGTTTTGGAGGAGAAAGAGAAGGAATTGGAAGCGAAGGTTGGGGAGAACAAGAAGATTTTGTTGTTCCAACCCACATGCATGAAAAACATGGGAAGGCAACCAACCAAGTCAAGCTTGGCAGCCACCAACCATAGCAAGGGTCAAGAATGGAGGCTACCCAAGTCAAGAATGAAGGCTCTCCCACCTACTCCTTTTGTGTATAAATAGAGACGGGAGGGAGAGGATGTTTTATATCAGAAATTGGAGAGTGAGAGCTGTGAGTTGAGTGAGTTTCATCTCCTCCTCTGTATTTGTATTTTGCTCCATTTTAGTGAAAATTCTCATTTCTGTCCGTGGATGTAGGCATTGGGCCGAACCACGTAAATATTGTATTCTCTATATGTGTGAGATAATTTTTTTTTGGGTGTGTTTGATCCTAACAAGGAGATGGCCTGAAGAACACACCGCTTGGGCCAGTCTAGTCAGGCATACAGAGTAAACAAAATGATAAGGTCATACTCACAAGAACACTAGAGATTCCAACTTCCCAAGTGCAGGAGGAATGATCCCTGAGATGTTGTTGTTGTACAAATCCAAGCTAATTAGGCTCTTCAAGTTACCTAGCTCAACAGGGATTGTACCTTGAATGTTATTTTTGTAAAGCTCCCTGCATCCACAGAAAGTTTTCCAGTAACTCACAAAGACCTCTCAAGTGCATCCATTGTTGGCAAGTAAACAAATCAAGAAACAGAATATACTTACAGATATTGCAGATGCTCAAGCTTTCCAATTTCAGGAACGAGATGACCGGACAAGTTTGAATTGCCCAAATCCCTGCAAAGAAGTTAGCATAACATGATGGGTAAGAGATGCATCAGCAATAACTATTTCAGGCTTGTGCATTCTACATCAGAGTGATTAGAAAACAAGAATTACCCATTTGACATGTAGAGAAAGATAAAAAGAAGAAATGAGAAGTATCAAAATTTGAAATACCAAAATTCCAAAGGTGGTCCCTTGTTCCCAAAAGATCAAACAAAAAGGGCCAAAATTCAGAACATATTATTAATGAATTAGCAATCCAAGCACCCACTATATTCAAAATATTGTCATTTTTTTTTTTTTTATCAATTCAAAATATTGAACCAGAAAGTATAGCATGTCATCCATTCATCCCCTTATTATTCATGAATAACACAATGCCTACACATAAACACAAACCATAAGCAAAATCACTGAATTATTTTAAATATCCTAAAATGGAAACATGTCCTCCTTATCTTTTCATGCAATGAAATCTTATTCTATTTCATTAATGGATATCTTTCAAGATATAATGACGAACAATTACTCTTGAGTTCCAAATTCTTCCAAACATCAAATTTTGAAGAACCATAGCATTTTCGAAGACATGAACCACCACACTCCCTACAAATCTGTAAAATATGAATCTCTTAACCTCACTTTTCACTTCAGATTTTCCTCCCGAAATTCAATGCAATGAAAATGAAGTTGACAAAAGGTGCTACCTAGTGTTACTAGTAAATTCTCTAGGTAGTTGTATGAGAACCTTGAGATTGGATTTCACCTTCATCCGGCGCGGGAGGTGTTTTAAGGGTAGGGACTCCATTGTGTAGGTGCATTGGTGGATTATGTAACCCTTAAAAGGTAGAAATCCCAACAAATAGTAAAGTAGAATTTGCAAATAAAAGACATACTAAGGGGGGTGAAATATGTGAAACATCTAGGTTTATCAAAATATTTTATCATCCTACCATGTTTTACAATTCTCATAGTGTTCTTACTAAAAACAGTTTGCATGCGACTAACATGCTTGCTACTAAATTTCTGGAAGGACCATATTTTGAAAGATACATGACATAAAATGATACCACAAATCTAAGGAAAATCACAATAAACTCATCTATGATGCTTTGGAAAAGAGAATAAGCTAAATAAATGTCCTTGGAAACTTAAAATACCCAAACCTAAGAAACACAGACATTTCTATGGAGGAGGCATGTTGTGTGGGACACCCACGTCGGACACAACACTTGGTGTATGCTCCTAAAAGGCGTGTATGATACTTCTTCAACATGCCTTAATTAAAATTTTAAATTCATAACATCGAACACTTCTCTGACACTTTAAAGAGATTATTGAACCAATACGACTTTCGTGATGAATCTCTTCATAGTAACGATGTTTTGCATTCTTATGAATTGAAATTATGCACTCTAAATATGTTTTGAAAATAAGCACATGTGCACATAATCCCATTGCCATTTGGAAATAAGCACATAAACCCCTTGTGGTATGTGAACTAGCATGCACTGTCAGGTCCGTTAATAGCTCAAGCAAAAAAGACTAAAATACTAAGTAAACTCATTGTGCAAACCACGAATACTTTGTCATTTTTTAAGAAGGTAAAATTCACTTTAACTCCAATGTTTTCTTCATGTGCAATATACCACTCGATATTTGGAAATGGGCACATAGGGCCCTCATGTTCTGATTTGACACATGTTTCACACTTGCCGTTACAGAATGCTTGACAGTGCACAAAGGGGGTTATATGGTTATTTCATACTAAATGATAAAGGGACAATCTGCACATGGGCCAAACCAGAAGAGGCTAAAGTGAAATTTCCCCAAAACTAATTGTACCCACTATATGCTGTTATCTAGATTTCAGGTAAGTGGAATAACAGTTTCAGTTCAACCTTTGACCATAGTGATTAGCTTCCAAAACCCTCCTAACCTATCAAATTCCAGAAATATACCTTACCTACCTACCAGAAACAACAATTATAGAAAGCCAAAAAACTCAAAATATTCACAGAAATCATAAACGGAGAGAGAGAGAGAGAGAGAGAGAGAGAGAGAGAGAGAGAGAGAGAGAGAGAGCGGGTACACGCGAGTGACGCGGTTAGCTTGATTGCAGGTGATGTGGAACCAGGTGCAAGGATTGACGAGGTTGGGATCCCAACTCTGGAGCACGTTGTCTGGATCCAACAAGCTCCGCCGGAGCGAGTAGAGTGCGCCCCCTTCCGAATTCCCAATCACTTTCAAAGGAACTGTAAAAACTGATATCACAATCACACACAATCTCAAGCTCAAGCTCAATCGAGCCATGGCTTTTTCAGCTCCTTTTTTTTGGGAGAGAAAAGAGAAACTTTCTTCTTCTTCTTCTACTTCTTCTCTTGGTCTGAGTATGGCTAGGGTTTCGATTGATTCTCTGCGATCACAAAGAAAATGTAGAGAGAGAAAAGTTGAGGAGAGTGGACTTCATCAAATCGGTTTTGGGAATAACAGACGGAAAAACAGAGGAAATGATGGATATTGTGGGAAGCGAATCTTTTTGTATTTTTAAATTTTTTATAAAAAGCAAAAAAAAAAAAAAAAAAATAAAATAATCTATTCCAAAAAAAAAAAAAAGCAAAGTAAAGTGCTTTTAAGAATAATTTTTAAAATATTAACACTAAATTCGTTGTCTACAGTGTAATCCTAGACGTCTTAAAAATTTTATTAAAATTTTTATCGAATATTTTATATAGGTGTGGGACTCACACAAATGTAAATTCTATGTAAGTCTCATACCCATGTAAGATATTTGGTAAAATAGATATTTGGTAAAATATTTAGTAGAATTTTTAAAATTTCTAATATTTTTATTGCGTAAATTCATTGTGATGTATTTTATATTATGATGTAACATTTCTAAAGTTATGATTTAATTATATTATTTATAATTTAATACTTATAGTTAGGGAGAATGTTACTATATCATAAAAATGGTGGGATTAATTGTGATTTATTATGGTGTATTTATCAACAAGCATCATATGAGAAAACTTTTAGTTACGAATTATTTTGATTATGTTACGAGATTTTATTAGTGAATAAAGTTATGTACCCTCATGATTTAGATTTTGCTATGAATTATTATAGTGTAATTAATAAAAGAGACACGCAATGCAAATGTTGTTTGAGGGTGTTAACCGTCCATAAGCACAAGAAAAACAAATAAATTAAAAAACACGAGACACTTCTTAACTGAATACAGCCTCCGTTTGGGAAGTGGGTTGGTTTTTTTGACTATTTTAACTTAGGGCTAAAAAGTCTGGTTTGGGAAGGACTTTTTGACTTTTTTAACTTTTTAACTTTTTGGTGAGATGTCCATATATAATATTACTAAACTGTCCCTGCAACTAATTTTGTCCAACTGTGATGTCACCACTCGCTTTCCCTTCTTTTTTTTTTTTTAAATTTTATTTTTATTTCGGCGGCTGTGCTATGGAATTGTTGACCTAAATGGTTTTTTTTGGTCATTTTAATATTTGTTTTTTTTATTACATTATTTTTTTTTTTTTTTTTTTTTTTTTTGTCTTGGTTTTTTCATGTGTTTTTTTATGTTGATTTTAATTTTTTTTTTTTAAATTTTCTGTAAAATGATAAAAAGTGAAGTTTTAAATAATTGTCCTGTATATTTTAAGGTCTTTTTTTATTTTTTTTGCAAATGGTTTTTTCATGTGTTTTTTATTTTTATTAATATTTTTTTAACCTTAACCCAAATGATTTTTTTAATTTTTTTTTGAATTTATGTTTTTGTAATTTTTTAAATATTTTAAAATATTTTTGAATGAGGCGTATTTTTTTTAAATAATTTATGTATTTTAATTTTTTTTTTACAAATGATTTTTTCATGTGTTTTTTAATTTATTTTTTTTCATTTTCTGTGAAATGATAAAAAGTGAAGTTTTATGTTATTGTCCTGTGTATTTTAAATAATTTAATTTTAAATATTTAATTTTAATTTTAATTTTATTTTAAATATTTAAATAATGTAAATAATCTAAAAAATTTAATAAGCAAAAAATGAAAATAAATATTCAAAAAACTTAAATGGTTAAAATTTAAATAATTTAAATATTTAAAAATTTATTTTAACAAAAAATTTGAATACTTTAAATATTCAAAAAATTTAAATAATTTAAAATGTTAATATTTTAAATTTAAAAACAACTCTACACTCAAATCATAATCAAACACATAAAATAAAATTCAATTAGTAAATTATTTTTAAAACTCATAACCAAACACATAACTCGAAACTCCATATTACTTTCACATCTCTACACTCAAATCATAACCAAATACATAATAAAAATTTTTTAAAATATTTACAAATATTTTTATAAATAGAGTTTAAATTTATTTTTATAAAATATTTTAACAAAAACCAAAAAAACGTTTTTAATTTTTTTTTTTTCAACGTCCTGTGTATTTTTTTGGAAATAGGTGTTTTTTGGGAAGTGACTGTGAAGCTTTTGTGGTGATGCCCCTCTCTTATGTGGGGGTAGATTTGTAAATTTACCTTGACAATGGTTGGTGGCAAGCGATTATGAAGTTTTTGTCTCCATGTGACTAAAATCAACTTTTTTGTCCTTACATGGCTAACTTAGCCCAAGAAATCCTTCCCAAATACCACCACAATGTATCTTTTTAACATTTTCATCTATTTTTAATGTACTTTTATTTCAATCTCAATATTAAACAATTCTCCAAACTCTTTTATCATTTGATACTACTACACGATACATTAAATGGTTTGAGGAGGGGTGGGTGGGTGTGCTGGTGTGGTGTTAATGACATAAATTGATTTGTTGGTTTGATTTGGCCAATTTTCTTTGTTTGTGTGTAGTTTAAAACATCCAAATGGTTGGTCTTCTCATTCATAGATAGGATGATATCCTTTTATAAACATTAATTTGTTGTTTTTCTTTTTTCTTGTTTCTTTGTTTTTGTTTTTAGTTTTCGTTTGAAAGCTTTTGTGTTTCATTTCATTTGAATTGCATAGATAGGGTGGAAAAATTCCTGTTTCGTTTGAATGTAGCTGTTTACACACAATGATGTCTCTCCTCCACCCATAACTTTAAATGTTCAAAAAAATTGACTAGGTCATAGATGGTGACTGCCCAAGTCAATAAAGTATTCTATTCTCCAATAATTCTCATTGTGGAATTTTATCCCTTAGTGGTGGAGTAAGTAATAGATGGTTGGTTGTATTTTTGTTTTTCAAATAAAAAAATGAAAACTTTCTTGAATTTTTTTTTCAAAATTTCACCCCTCCACACCTTTCCTGTTGTTGCAGACTCAACCACACCTCCGGTGCCCTACAGTGGTTTCAACCTTCTAGGCTCTGTTTGGGTACAGCTAAGAAAATCACATATTCAAATCCTATCTGAATTTCACTCCGATTTCACATTGGTGGTGCAAGATTTGATCTCACACAAATCTTCATCCAATTCTAACAAGCAAAATTTGAGAAGAAAGGGAAACCATTGATATACCCCACTTTGACCCACCTCATCATGCAGAGAGATGTCTCGAGTCCTCAATCATTTTCAATAACATATCTCATGTTATCCATCATCGTATTTCAGTACATATACCTACACTTACATTACCCAAAAGTACAGTTACAGTTGATGACAGTGTAACAATTTTACAGATAATTATATCTTGATAAACTGTGTTCACAACCCTAGAGCCCAATAATACATTTCATCAAGGACTAGAATCTCCAGACTCAGAACAACTTTTTAGAACAACAAAACACCAACATTTTTAGGGAATAAAAACACCAAATTAACACTGAGGGAACAGTTGCAAGTTGCTGCACCTGATCACCCGTTTTTTCATGAGCAATTTGTATCGTAACTCGCAAGACCCTGCAACTCTGGACCTTCCAGTCGAGGATTGTTCTCGAAGCTACATTAAAAAATAAAAGTGCCAGGTCAAATTATGGCAGGCAGGAAAAAGTGGGACCAGTAGGGAATTTATGTCCAATAAACTCTCGGGAAAAAACAAAACGAAAACATTATGAAAGTAAAGCATCATCTCCATGCAAAACCACTGAATCTCAAACAAATAAATAAAAAAAAACAGAAGAAGAAGAAGAAGAAGAAGAAGAAGATAGAATACTCTGTTTCTCCCCAAAGCTTCTGGATGCTATGATTTTCTCTATGTTCTCATCTAAGTTAGATATAAATCTCTCTGATCTATAGATATACCATTTTATCATACGAGTCATGAATCCATTTGGCAATAGAAGTAATGGCAGGTGCCCCATTCTCATATGAGAGGATCTATAATGGTTGGTGCCAAAATGGCAATGCTCTATTTGGTTTGATTTTTCAAATTTTGTTTTTAAACAGGTTTATTTTTGACTTTAGTGAACTTTTTTCATATTTTAGTCAATTTTAGATTACTCAGTATGTAGACTTCAATTGACAAAGAAACATCTACAAACAGAAAATATGCAAAAAGATGATTTTCATTTTTCTTTTCTTTTCTTTTTTTTTGGGTACAAAATGAACGTATTCTTTTTTTCATATTCCTAGTGAGGTACACAGGCTATGGCTACTAATCTATAACCCTAGTGGTTAATTTTTAAATTTGTATTCTTCAAATTTACTGACATACTCTCACAAAGCACAGAATCGTAATTGGTCTAATATGATGAGCCAAAGCACAAATAAAGACATCAGGTTTCAAAAAAATATATAATCTCCAACAAATTCCAAGAGACATCCCTTAAAACCTTTTATTAAAGCACACATCACCACATGGTTCTAAATATCAGCGGGTTCATTGAAAACTGGCCAGTTTGTATCAGGCTTTTAACACTCCAATACAGATAATTACCAGTTTACCAATGTAAATAAATATTGCATGCAAACAGGTGCGACGTACCAGTTTGAATTGAATAAAATTGCCAATATTCCCACTGAACTTATCCAATTATCTAAAAAACTGGCTTATGTATAAAATTCATAACTAAATGCTTAGGCTTGTTCCATGTCCAATGTCACTTTTTGGGTATGAAGTGAGTTGTAACAATCCTTGTCATTAAACTTGGCTATTTTAGTTAGCGTTTTGGCTCTTTTAGCTTGGCCAAAAAAATTGTGTTCGGGATGATAGTTGTCTTTTTTTGTAGTTGATTTGATGGTTGTGAGAGAACAAATTAAATGATTATGCTTTGAATGTGACAGTTTGTCTTATTAGCTATTTTAACATTTTTTGTCTTTATTGGCTATTTTAGCCCCAAACTTGCATCCCAAACCTAGCAATGTCATGCAAGGTTGAATGTTTAACATATGAAGAACTGAATAATTTAGGTTAAAAAGAAGGTGACTGTATCTAGTTTGCTGAGTTTATGAATGGCGAAAGATAGGAGGTACGTATTCCAACAACCTATCAATTTGAATTGGATACAAAAGAATCTAAGAAACTAACTGAAAAAATAAATTACAACAGTATACAAATCAAAGAAACCTTACTTGTTTAATGGGATGTGCTCAAATGAACCCGTAGTAGGAATTGTTCCACACAAGTTGTTGCTTGAGACATCTCTGCAAAATCATTCAGATGTTCTTGTCACCAATGACTCACAATGAATATAGTACTCATAATTTGAACACTAGGTTCTTTACTTACACAACTTTCAAGCTGGAAATACCAGTGAGCTCCCTTGGGATTTTCCCGGTTAACTGATTATCATTAAGACGCCTGCCAAGTAAAAATGAGGAATTAGGACATGGGTTCACAGGTACATATGGCAGTGTATGCAAGCACGATGGCATCAAACTGTTTGTGTTTGTGTGTGTGTGTGTGTGTGTGTGTGTGTGTGTGAGAGAGAGAGAGAGAGAGAGAGAGAGGGAGAGTCTTTAATTTTAAAAGACAATATATCAAGTGCCAAACAAAATGGAAACTCCAGAAACACCATAGATTAAACAAAAGATTACCAAATTACACCATGCTTTTTCTACATAATTGAGAATACTTGTTCTTGGATCGCAAAATGAATCAACTAACCATCCCAGGATTCAAGAAGGATAATGAGGGATTGAGATCAAATTATCCCAACAAAAACCCAAGGAGATGGCCTGGAGAACATGCTGATTGGGCCAGTCTAATCAGGCATAAATAGTTAACAAGATGATAAGGTCATACTCACAAGAACACTAGAGATTCCAACTTCCCCAATGAAGGAGGAATGATCCCTGAGATGTTGTTGTTGTACAAATCCAAGCTGATTAGGCTCCTCAAGTTACCTAGCTCAACAGGGATTGTACCTTGAATGTTATTTTTGTAAAGCTCCCTGCATCCACAGCAAGTTTCCAATAGGTTTTAGTACATGCATTAACTCACAAAGAACTATCAAGGGCACTGTAACCAATTACTGATTAGATAGGAAACTGCTCACCTAAAGCTAGGACTTAAACAACAGACAATTCATCCATTATTGGCAAGTAAACAAAGCAAGAAACTAAATATACTTACAGATATTGCAGATGCTCAAGCTTTCCAAGTTCAGGAACAAGATGACCTGACAAGTTTGAATTGCCCAGATCCCTGCAGAAAAAAACATGATGGGTAAGAGACACATTGGCAATAACTACTTCAGGCTTGTGGATTCTACATTGTAATGTTTAGAAGAGCAAATAAGTAGCAATTTCACCTGTAGATATAGAGGAGGAGGAAGTATCTAAAGTTGAAATACCAAAATTCAAAACTTGGTAAATCCACACATGTTCCCCAAGAGATCAAACAGAAACGGACAGATTTCAAAATGTCATATTAATGAATTAGCAACCCAAACACCCACTATATTCAAAATATTGACAATTTTTTGGACAATTCAAAATATTGAAGCCAGAGAATATTGCATGTCATCCAATAGTTCACTTATTAGTCATGAATTACACAATACTTATGGATAAACACAACATAAGCACAATCACTAAAGTATTATAAATATCCTCCAGACTACAATGGAAGCGTATTGTTCTTATCTTTTAATGCTATGAAATCTTATTTTGAACTTACTTAGATATCTTTCAATATATAATGATGAAAAATAACCCTTTAACTTAGTTGCACAAAGCAGAAGCGGAAGTGGGCGTAAGGGAAAAGGGCACAGAGAAGAGTCCAAGGTTGGGAGTGTTTATATATTTTATATAAATATATTAATATACAGTAAGAAATATATTTTTGTTGTTGAACTGTAATCTATATGTTAAACTATGAATAAGTAATGGATATTGGCGTCAACCGCAAATTGTTTTTGTGTAAATATAAATAAATATTATATAATTACGTAGTACTAGAATAAATATGATCTATTTTTTCCTATAATTTGATTGTTGTTACAAAATATCTTTTGTTTCTTGGCAATTCTTTCTTGATAGGAATATGTTTCTAACTCGATCCTTGCTCTAAATAGCAAAATTGAGGTTCTAGAACTAATTTGTCACCACTGATAGGAGGTTCCTCCAATTAAGCTCGAGTTCCAAATTCTTCCAAACACCAAATTCTCAACAACCATAACTATTTTGAAGACATGGACAGTGCTCTCTTGATGATTCTATAAAATATGAATCTCTAAACATCTATTTTCTTCCATTTCAAATTTTCTCTAAAAAATCAATGAAATGAAAACAAAATGGGCAGAGTTGTCAACTAGTGTCGCTATTCTATTACATAAAGCGCACAACTCAGAACAGTAATGTCTATATAGCAAATAACCAGTAACAGTTTTCAAATTCAACACATCTTCATTAATCAAATCGCCAAAATTTCGATGCACTGCTATAGTATATACATATATTTATACACACACACATATATGCAAGTTACATATACTCAAAAGATGTGTAACATATGCAAGTTACCACAAATGTCATGCCTAAATCATTTTCTGTCACAACTAAAAAAAAATGTCATAACAAAACATAATAGTCATTATGAACATCACAATGAGTCATAATTAACATTGCCACAATAGAATATAACCAAAGACCACAAACGTCCTAATTGGGCATATTATAGAATTTCCCATATATATATGTGTGTGTGTGTGAGATGTGCAAACATCAATTACGCCACTATATGCTGATATCTAGATTGCAGAAAACTTAAATAACAGTTTTTAGTTCAACCAAACACTAGATTAGCTTCCAAGATCCTCCTAATCCATGAAATTTCAGACATATTTACCTCCCAGAAACTGCAATTATAGAAAGCCAAACAACTTCAAAAAATTTCCACAAATCATATACGATAAACAAGACAGAGAAAGAGAAAAAGTGAATACACGCGGGTGACGCGGTTGTCTTGATTGCAGGTGATGTGAAACCAGGTGCAAGGATTGACGAGGTTGGAATCCCAGCTCTGCAGCACGTTGTCTGGATCCGACAATTTCCGACGCAGAGCGTAGAGTGCGTCTCCTTCTGAATTCCCAAACACTTCCAATGGAACTGTAAAAACTGATATCACAATCACACACAAGCTCAACCTCAACTTCAAGCTCGTCCTGAATGGAGCCATGGCTTTTTCAGCCCCTTTTTCTTCAGGGAGATAGAGAAGAAGATAGAGATTTTTGCTTCTTCTTCTTCTTCTTCTTCAATTGATCAGAGAGCTATGGCTAGGGTTTTGATTGACTCTGAAACCACAGAAAATGGAGAGAGAGAGAGAGAGAAAGAGAAAGAGAAAGAGAGAATTTGAGGAGAGTGGAGGATCGGCTTTGGGAATGTATACGCGTGAGCCGAATCTTTTTTCTTTTTTTATTTTTTTTTATTTTTAAACTTATAAACATATTTTAAATATATAAATATATTAAAAATGTAGATATCCCTCAATGAAAAAATTAAGATTATTTAGCCTCCGTTTGGGAAGTGGATTGGCTTTTTAATTTTTTGACTTTTTTGATTATTTGAGCCTGGGTTCAAAAGCTTGGTTTAGGAATAATTTTTTGGCTTTTTGATTTTTTTGACTTTTTTTGTGAGAGAAGAGTGTAATGATTATGGGTTGGATGTGATGTTTTGTTTGTTGTGGCTCAAATAACCTATTCTGTCTTTTGTGGCTCAAAAAATCAAAAGAGCCCAAATGAGCTCTTCCCAAACGACACCTAGCCTATTTTAGAAAGATGGTAAAAAATATTTTTTTGACTTTTAATTAAGTTTTTGGCTTTTTTAGACAAATTATTTGAGAAGTTGGTAAAAATTTACTTTTGACTTTTTTTATTAATATTTGTTTATGATATTAAATCACAATAAAATGACCAATTTATCCCCATTCAATTTAAAATATTTACAACTTCACTCATGTAACATAATTTGACCCATGGGAGATAGAATTGTAATTTCACCAATGACTAAAAACTAGCTTTCCAAATGCCTTTAAATACAAAAAAGTCAACTTTTAGCTAGCTAAAAGCCAAGTTCCCAAAACATCCCTTAATTGATTTAATTTTTTTAGAGATGATGATATGTCTAAAATATCTTATAAAATGAATGATTCAAATTACTAAAATGTGACTTTGTGATAGATTTTACTGATCTCTCAAATTCTTTTAATTATATAAACTTTACATTTTTATGGTTGAATGACTCGAAATATATAAATTCATAATCTAAAACGGTAATATAATATTTAAGGGTGTTTTAATATAATTAACTCAAAGTGTAGTAAGGTTTTTATTGTTTTGATATTATTATTATTTTATTTTATTTAAAAGATAATAATTTATTAAATTGTAATGAGCATGATCCAACTACTTTATATGGAGGGACTGGTTTGGTTGGGTGTTGTATGCTGTGATTAGATGGTGTTGGTGACCTATTGGGTTTTGATTTAGTTGGATTTGGTTTTGAGATTTAAAAAGACCAAAAGGAATATGCTACAATAATTAAGATTAGATATAAAATATATTATTTGAACTTTTAGTGAGATATATGAATTTTGAACAGTTAAAAATTGGGAAAAATTAGATATATAGCTTTTTAAATCTATATGGTTGAAGTTCACTGAATAGAATAATTAATTTTATTTTATTTTATTTTGTTTCATTTGGAAACATTTGTGTTTCATTTCATTTGCACATGATGTGGAAAATTCTTTTCCTACCAGTGGAGCTGTTATTTATCCACAAAGTCTCTCCCATGTCGGATGCCGTTACATCTCAGAGCATTTTTGTTTTTATTATAAAAAAATAAAAATAAAATAAAATAATTCTCTTCCCTATCTTCAAAGAAACTTGACTAGAGTGCACTGATTCCAAGTTATAAGTCAATAAAGGATGCTCCACATTTTGATTGTGCAATCATCTTTAATGGTGGGTTCCATTGCATAGACTTCTGATTTTTATTTTATTTTTTTTAGAAAAAAAAAATAGTTGTTTTATTTTTCATATTTTTGTATTTTTAGTAAATTTTTTATTTTTTTATATTTTTTAAATACATTTAAAAATAAAATATTTATAAAATTTAAAAGATACTAAAAAAAATATATTTTCGTATTTATTGAGTTTTTGAAAATTATTCACAAATATTTTGGCCTTGTTTGGTTTGGCTTTGGGAAAAAAGATTTTAGAGAAAAATTTTAGAAATTTTGTTTGGTTTATAATTTTTTCAAAAAAATTTCAAAATCACTTTCTCTTATACACATCAATCAATCACTTTCTCTCTCTCTTCTCTCATTTTCAATCATTTTTTCTCTCATATACATCTACGCAATTACAACAAAATATCAAATCATTCAAAATACTAAAACTATTTTCAAAATATACAACCAAACAAACTACAAAAATTTTAAAACTCTCTTCTCAATATTTTTTAAAAATTTATCTCCCAAATTCAAACCAAACAAGACCTTTTCTTTTTAAACTTATAGAGATACATCTAAAACATATATAAAAAATAATTAAAATATAAAAAATTGGAAAATTTACCCATAAGTCCTAGTTTCTGAAAAGTTGAACCATTTAGTCCTAAAAGTTTTCTTATGCTCCATTTAGTCTCATTTGCACATCAATCTAATGTTCGAAACATTAATCTGATGTTTGAAATCTAATGTTCGAAACATTAATCTGATGTTTGAAACATTGTAATGGGACCTTTCAGTCTGTAAGAAAACTTTTAGGACTAAATAGTGTATAAGTTATTAATTTGGGATTTATTGGTGCATTTTACCCATAAGTCCTAGTTTCTGAAAAGTTGAACCATTTAGTCCTAAAAGTTTTCTTATGCTCCATTTAGTCCCATTTGCACATCAATCTAATGTTCGAAACATTAATCTGATGTTCGAAATCTAATGTTCGAAACATTAATCTGATGTTTGAAACATTGTAATGGGACCTTTCAGTCTATAATAAAACTTTTAGGACTAAACAGTGTATAAGTTATTAATTTGGGATTTATTAGTGCATCTCCCTAAAAATTTTTGTTAAAAATAACAAAAAACAAAATATTCAAAAATTTAAAAACTGTGTTTAAAAAATCAAAACCAAACATAGACTTCTCCCTCTATTTGGTTTTGAGTTTTTTAAAATATTTTTTTTAATTTTCAATTTGTATTCTTTTATTTTTATTAAATATTTTTAATATTTACTTACAGTACTTAAGATGTACTTAAAATATAGAATTTGTAATTTTTAAAAATAAATTCACTAATTGCAAGAAATAGAAAAATTTAGGATATTTTTATATTTTTTCCTATTTATTTATTTTTTAAAAAATCACAAATATAATGATTTTTAAATATATTTAAAAGATTAAAAAATTTATTAAAATATTACAAAATTCACTAAAAATGTTTTAAAATTTAAAAAATATGTTTTTTAAAATTCAAAACTACAAGTGATTAATTTGAATATTTATGTTAGGGAAGTATCTATTTTAAAAAGTCAAAAATTTACTGCTAAAATATCAATGAATGTCTTTATTTTTTTGAATGTCTTTTTGTAAAAAAAAATCAAAAAAATTATTTTTTGGATAGGGTCAAAAAATTTATTAAAAAGCCAATTATTTTCTTAATTTTTTTTACATGTCTATAAAAAAATCTATTAAAATAGCTAGTGCATTTTACTCTCAGGGTAGTTTTTAGTGACGCAACAAATGTGTTGAGGGTTTCCCTTGGGCTTCAGATGGATTAGGATGCAAATGGTAAAAAGCAAAAAAAAAAAAAAAAAAAAAAAAAAAAACTTTTAAGTTTGTTTATTATAAAAATAGTAGAAATTATAAAGAAAATTAATTTTCTTATACAACTCATAATAACGTAGTAACTAAAAGTTTCAAATTCTTACAAAAAAATTAAAAAAAAAATTAAATTTATTATAAAATAATTACTCATAATTGGAATTCTCATTTTCATACAAACTTTTCATCCTAATTACTCTCAAATTAAAAAAATATTTTCTTTTTCTTTCCTTTCACACTTTTTTTACTATTTTTGGTTTTCATAATTTATTTATTTTTCTAATCAAACCGCACCTACAGAATTGATCACCAAGTGTTGTGTGGGAGGAAGGTAGGTCGATGATGATTACGAGGACAGTAGTGATTTAGACCCCCTCAAATTTCAACTCCCACCACCCCGCACACACGTGGCGGGCGGTGATTGGAGGAGGAGAAAAAAAAGAAAAAAAAAAGGTGACCAATCAAAAAAGAAAGGGAATCAAAAGAGGGTGAGGAAAGGGAATCCCAATCTTTATTCTTAACGATGATGAGGAAGTGGAGAAATCCAACTGATATCTTGAAATTGATGCTATCATTATCATCATCCTCATTCTCATCATCATCATCGTCAAGAAGTAGATAAGTGCTATTTGGGAACAATTTTAGCAGCAGCAAGGGTGAAGAAGAAGCACTGCCGAGAGAGAGGAAAAATGAATTTTTAACATTTAAAAATGAGGAAAAATTAGATATATAACTTTTTAAATATATACGGTAAAAGTTCCCTGAGTAATTTTTTTTTTATTATATTTTATTTCATTTGGAAGCATTTGTGTTTCATTTCATTTGAATTACATATGACGTGGAAAATTGGTTTCCTACAAGTTGAGCAGTTATTTATCCACAAAGTCTTCAAAGAAATTTGACTAGAGTGCACTGATTCCGTCAATAAAGCATGCTCCACTTTTTCATTGTGCAATCATCTTTAATGGTGGGTTCCATTCCATACACTTTTGATTATTGTTTTTTGTTCTTGAGAAAAAAATAGTTTGTTTTATTCTTCATATTTTTGTATTTTTAGTAAATTTTTTTTAAAAAATTAATTATTTTTTTATACTTTTAAATAATGTTTATAAAATTTATAAGATACTAAAAAAATACATTTTCATATTTATTGAGTTTTTGAAAATTATTCACAAATATTTTATATTTTAAGCTTATAGAGGTACATCTAAAAAATTAAATATAAAAATTAATTAAAATATAAAAAGTTTGTTACAAAAAATAAAATACTCAAAAATTTAAAATCTGTGTTAAAAAAATGAAGACCAAACATAGACTTCTCACTCTGTTTATGAGTTTTTAAAAACAATTGTTTCAGTTTTTAATCTGTATTCTTTTATTTTTAGTAAATATTTTTAATATTTACTTAATTTAGATATACTTAAAATATAGAATTTGTAATTTTTTAAAAATAAATTCACTAATTACAAAAAATACAAAAATTTATTATATTTTTATATTTTTTTGGTATTTATTTATTTATTTTAAAAAAAA